GACGGGATGTTGGTGAAAATTGCTCTGTTTTTAGGAAAGGTGGAATAGACCAATAGAAGGTTCTTGCAGTCTCGTGCAGTCGTCTTTGCTTAACCCAGCACCACATAGAGATCGTGGATACAAACAAGTAGTAAATACGTATTTTAGGAAACATTTCAAAAGCTTCCCTTGCAGTTAAAGAAAAGCAACAATGATCTTGAGAATTGTAATTTCTGTTTCCCAGTTTTTGGATACAGTGAAGTGGACGGAATTTTACACTGGGTGACTTTTATCTATTGAGGTGTAGGTTTGCAGCAATAGGAAGAGTGGATGTTTTATTTAACATCTGATAACTGAGTCTCCTGATACTCCCCAAACTCCAGAATTTGACGGTTTGCTCATATATAACATCTTTCTTGGAAGTCTCTTTGGGAAGTACCACAGGTGTTCAGAGCTTTTGACCAAAATCTGCAGACCCTGGAGCCGTCACAGGGGCGTTTCTTTCTTTTATTGCTTCATGTTGCAGAAGTTCGCAGAGGCTGCAAGTGGAATTGGGTGATTTTTAATGTTTGAGGCTTCATAACACAAAGTGAGAAACAGCCCTTTTGGCAAAGGATTTCCAGCTGGTGTACATGTAACATCAGAGCCAAAGGAGGAGTGTTAATATCCCCTCTGTTCTGGGGGGAATTGCAACAAGAAGCACGTAAGGGACTGTGCAGTCTAAGCAGTTTGTGGCACCCCCAGGAACTGGAAAACAGGTTCTGCTGTTGTCTTGTTTCATATTTCTTCATATGTTTTCCTCCCTCTCCGCTAATCAATATCCTATCAACTTCATTACTTTGTTTTATATATTTGACAGGCTAGTGGGGAGAGGGTGAATTTGATCATCTCTAGACCCCTGAAGTCACAGACAGTCAGTATTATCCGAGACACCGGGACTCACAACAGCAACCCACATCAACACCAGTCCCAGCAGCTGTTTCACAGCAGACCCAACTCACATAAGGTTAGTGTTTCTCTTTCTAAGAGGTATAAATGCCATTTTACTCATGTGATATTCTAAGTAAGTGTGTAGCAAGACTGGAAGAAAGGGTTATATCTTCTTTTTTAGCTATTAAGAAAAAAAAAGATGACAACTTCCAACTACTCAAGTCCTGCATCATGTCTGGAGTGGGAACAAAAGTTTTTGGTTGTTTTTTTTTTTGATTTGCTGACTACAGTGAAAGAAGAAAGTTCTCTGAGCTCATACAGCTGTAGTTGTTAAGACCTTGTCTAAGCCAGTGGCTCATGTGTTACTGCTGCACGGAAGAGCTGTCATTCAAGAACGTTATTTTTTTGTTGCCGCTGTGCTGGCTGCAACCAGAACGGACAGCAGATGTGGTGCACACCATCCAGCATATAAAGAGCATGCTGGAGGGATGTGTCATCTCCTCCATGAGGCAGCAGTGCTGGCTGCAAGACTGCCGAGTTCTGCAGAGTCAAGCAGGGAGAGAAAGGCAGAACAAAGAGAATTTAATGAAGCTAGTGTCAAATTATCTGGAAGACCTGTAGAAATAAAGCCTGTGCTTGAGATGTTCTTGTAGTTAGAAAAATATGACTTCTCGCAGTTGAGAAGTTGATTGTGTGAAATAATTGTCACGTTGACCATGTCAAGCAAGCCGCCTTTCCTCCTGTCCGCTCTGTTGGCATCACAGTTTAACATCGTACTGCTGTTGGGAGGATTTACACGTGTTGATAGTATTTTCCTTTAAAAGTTTGGGTAGTTTCAGGAAAGGAACAAGCGAGGCTCTAGGAAGCTTGTTTTCCTCCTGAGGGACAAAGGTGAAGCTCCTAAATATAGTTAGTGGCCGTTCGTACTTGCCACAGCGTTGGGCCATATCAACACAATGACTACAGTTCAGCTATATCAGATCTTGAAACCACCTTCCATCTGCCAGTATGGGTTGTGTTTATATCGCAGTTCCAAAGTTGATCTGTTGGCCGAGCTGGTTTCCCTCACGTATCAGTACCATCCCTGGGCTCTTCCAAAGGGGAAAGTCCTGTGTAACCACAAGTGGACATTTCCCACGTTTCATACCATTTACCTTTGCCTCTCTCTCATTAACCTACAGTTGGCTTAGAAGTCTTCTGGCTTCAAAAATGTTTGTATAATTGCATGGCACCAGCCAGTTGGTCCTAAAGCCTGGAGACTTAAGAAAGAGCTGTCTTTATAAGCTATGGTATGTGTACGTATAGCTACATATGTCATTAATGTGTATATGCGAGGAGCAGAGTCAGTCAGAAGGAGCACGTGGCATTGGAAGTTGAAGAAAGCAGTGTTGTCATTTTCCAGGAGAAGGCAGGGGAATAAATAAATATTTGGAGTTGGAAGAATCTCCCAGGTTATTTCTGCTGTTATTTTGGATTCTGTTGATTTAAGATGCTACTACAGGTATATGGGCTGTGGTTTGAATGTATGACTAAATATCCTGAAGAGGAAGGAGTTCAGCAAATAAACCGTACTTTGATTCAGATTTAGATCCTTTTGATGGGGTAAAACTAAATATGAGTGTCGTGGTTTGGGCTGAGCTGGCCGCCAAACAAATGATAGATGCTGTCTTTAACGGGCATTGTAATTCAGGTGTTAGAAAACTAAATACAGGATCTCTTCTTGCTTCAGGTTTGGGTCTTCATTGTAATCATTAGGCATGAGGCACCCATTACCAGCCGATAGCATTGATTGGCCTTAGTTACTTTGTGCTCTGGGAGATTGTCCATACCAGCTGCGAAAAAAACCCATGACATGTAAGGGCTTTAAATGGTCTCTCTTCGCCATCATGAAAACATGTGTGCGTTTTCATTTCTTAGAAGCTTCTTTGTAGTTCTGGGCCACATTCTACTGACTATTACTGAGGTAATGCTGATGTTCACCAAGACATCAAAAGATTTGTTTCTGGTTTGTGTCCACTCTTTTGACCATATGATTTTGTAGTGCAGTCCTAACATTTAGCCCATTCTAGTGTAGGATGCTAAGAAAAACTGGAGTGAGATTTTCAGGATGGGCCTTTATAAACTTTGTGTCTATATTTGTTATCTACAGCAGTAGCGCTTTTTTTTTTTTTTTTTCTGACCTGGAGGAAATCCAGCTGAAGCCGATTTGCACTACTTAGTCCTTTTAAACCATTCTGCTAAAGTGCCAAAGTATAGCTTTGGGGTGTATTTAGTTGTGTTTTGTTCTCTTTTTTTTTTAAGTTTTAACAATGTTATTTATCCTTGTCAAACAGGATCTCTCCCAGTGTGTTACATGCCAAGAAAAACACATTACTGTGAAAAAAGAGCCACATGAATCTCTGGGAATGACAGTGGCAGGAGGCAGAGGCAGCAAAAGTGGCGAACTGCCCATCTTTGTGACAAGCGTACAGCCTCACGGGTGTTTGGCAAGAGACGGCAGGATTAAACGAGGTGGGGCTTGGCTTTCCTGGTGGCACGGGTGGCCTCTGATTGCTGTTTGATGAGTTACGTGCTCTGGAGTCAGATGGTGTCAAAAAGTCTTCTCACAGATTTACTGAGGCGCCGATGGATGTTTCAATAATGGAAATAGAGTATTTAGTATCACACTTCCACCTTTTCTAGGAAAGGGATGTTTAGAGAATGATAGCAGGGGAAGTGAATAAGATCAGGAAATGTCTAGTTAAATTCTTTAAAGCTGACGGTAGTCCCCTGAGCTGAGGGTCTGGTGCGATGCTTGGTGCGCGCATCCTGTTTTTGTGTTTAATACGGTGGGCTGGGCCCCCTCTCTGTCCGAGAAATCTCTGCTGCTCAGTGTAGTATCTGAACAGCAGAGATGCTCTGATGAGGGGCCACAGCACACCCACGCTAAGTTTACCCCTGAAACTACGTCAGTGTTGACCCTGGTAGCCCAATGCTTTCTTATTCTTTGGGACAGCTTGGGTTTGCTGGTCTTCTGGGGTGCTACAGCACCCGTCTGTGTTCCTTGGCTTTGCAGAAAGGAATCGGGAGGTGGAGGTTAGACTCGGTGTAGGTGAAGGCAGTCCTGCCTGATCGATAGCAAAGCATTTGATGGTTAAAACATATTGTGCCGTGTGTGAAACAAAGACTGCCTATGGGATCTCTGCAGTTCAGAGTTCACAGCGTTACAGATTGTTTTAGGAAAGAAATTTAGGAAAAAAACTTCACAGATTGCAAATTTAAAAAGAACGGTGTGGGAGCATCCTTACATGCTTCTGAGAGAGGGAGATTTACACCCACGTACCAACGGGTATGCTTCCTTTTTCTGTACTACAATGAAAAACACACTTGATGGAAGAGTTGCAATTGCTCTTCCATTGTGTAACATTAAAGTAGCCACAGCAGCAACAAAAGTGATTTCAAGTTAAGCTGCAGCTCAACTTCAGGTTACCCTGGGAGGAAAAAGCTTTTGAGAAGTGAGTCTCATTCCAAATGCGACCCAGGTGTTTGCACTTTTCCTTTGTTTTTTCTGGCTTTCCTTGGTAAGTGAGATATTGTGTGAAAGAGGAGACTGTCACTGCTTGGACATGAAATAACATTTTTCTTTTCATCCTGAGACTTTTTACAAATGTTCTGAAATAAAATAAAAATTGTGGCAATTTTTTTGGTGGCTTCAGCTCTTTCCAGATTATCTTTGCAGAGGTGCTTTTTCTTTCTTCTAATGGACTAGTTTTTGTACCCACCTTTCCAGTAGCTTTTGAATTCCATTTTGGTCTCCCGTATAACAAGTTAGAAAAAGCAGAAGACCTAAAACACTCTGTGGAACCTCACTTACCTACAAGAGTTGGTTATGTTGTGATGCCTGTATTGTTCCATCCATCATGCTTCCTTCCCTTTTGAAGTTAGGACCTAAGATCCACTACTGGAAACGGTTATGTAGTGGCATCTGCAATAGCAGTTGCAGCCGAGATGGTGAGGTGCTTAGGTAATTTCTGTCTCAAATTTTCATGGCGATATACCGTAGAAGCCACAGCATTTGATGTCTTGTGTGGAAATAAATGATACTTAATAGTTCAATCTCTTAATGTTTCAAACCGACAGTATAAGGCTTCAGAGCTGTTCACATTCCCAGGCTGTTAGTTCAGACGGTCTCAGCTCCAAAAAATAAAGTATTGAATGAAACCCTGGCGCGAGAGGTGCTGTCGGTAGGAATGACTCTGACAGACTGATGTGTTCTCGCTTGCGCCTTTTGAACAGGTGATGTGCTGCTGAACATCAACGGCATTGATTTGACTAACCTAAGTCACAGCGAGGCGGTGGCCATGCTGAAAGCTAGTGCTGCCTCTTCAGTAGTCGCCCTGAAAGCGCTGGAAGTCCAGATTGTGGAAGAGCAGCCCCAGGCTAATGAAGAACAATTGAGTACCATCAGTGAAAATGAATACGATGCCAGCTGGTCGCCATCATGGGTCATGTGGCTGGGACTTCCAAGGTACGGAATTAATTGATAAAATAATTAGTTACCTGTTTTAAGCTAAGTCCTAGAGAGATACGAAAGCAGAGACGTTATTAGTTGCAGCACATCTGCCCTTATTTCTGCCTGACTGACCATCTCACCTATATTCAGTTGGCAGTGTGCTTACAAAGTGGAGTGTGAGCAGAAGCAATGTTTCCTTAGGAAACTGCAAGATGAATAGACTTGCTTTATCGCTTCACAAACCATAGTAATTACCTACGTGGATTGTTCTCATTGAACACGAGTCATCTTTTCTATTGTTTAATTGTATTGTAACTTCCTGTAGAATATCTAAAGCCAGAGAGATTATTAATAAAAACACAAAGTATATACTCATGTGTCTCTTTGTTAATCTGTTATGTAAATTTATGACGCCAAATATATAACTTTAGAATATTGGATCAGACTTGCTATTCTGACAGACTCTCGACCTGGTTCTCTTGCACACTTATGAGCCTGTAGTTACAAATCCCCATGTTGGTTTTTTTTTCCCAAGAACCCACTACCAACTTTTCCAAACACAAAACCTCCTCAAGATTTGCAGCAAGTTCCCTCCCCTTGACTAAACTGCAGTCTGCTACGTGCCACCGTGTTTCATTTTTACTGTTCTGTTTTTCACTCCCTTGTGGCTACAGCTGTAAGCTCATTCCGGCATTGCTTGCTATCAAGAAGATCTCCCACTACAGCACACCCTGACTGAAGTTAATTCCTCTCCCTCTGATAGGGTTACCGGGCTCAGGTCTATAATTTAAGCGTAAAACCGCAACAAAGAACCAGGCATATTGGTAGCAGAAAGCAGCTGAAGATAACAGAACCATGCATTGGTCCTCCAAAGATTTCACAGTTTTTCTGAGTTTTACTATCAATTAATTTCTCTTCTATTCAGGTATTAATGAGTTACCTAATCTCAATAAACAGCTCTCAGTTTTGGTAAATATACTTCCTTTCTGTGCTTCAGCAGTGGTTTATTGCTTATATACTACAGATACCCATGTGTGGACCTTAAAGTTATGCTATATATTGTGCTGCTGTTCTTTAAAGGAGTGTTGTATGCCAGTAAAGAACCTAGCATCTTTTTTACCCAAAAGTTAATTTCTATGTTGGTTTTGGTTTTGTTTTTTAATTAAAGTCATTGCCACCTTCATTAGCAAGAATTAATTTTCACGGGGGAGATAACATATACCAGTACAGTTAGTGAAGCATGATCTGAATTATTTACATTCAGTGTAATAAAATGGTTAATCGCTTATATTGTCATTACTGGTGATGCATCAGTTCAGAGGCAGCAAAGATGATGCATGGATTTTTAGATCTTTACTTAAAGTAGAAAAAGCCTAAACTGACTGGGGGTGGAAGAAAAACACATTGCATTTTTGACTTGGAAACTAAACATATCAGGCATCTACTTTCCACCCACGTTCGTGCCACCTGTGAAATCCCTAAAATGCCATTCTATTACTGTCAGTTTACAGAGTTAACTGTGTTTAGGTGGTTATTCTAGCACTGCATTATTTCTTTCAAAGCACTTTTCTGTCTCAAGATTGTAGGGGTATTTTTTTTTGGTAATCAGTTTGAATATTGCAAAATTACTCTGGGAACAGAAGTTGAATCACCATCCCTCCCCTTCTCTTCCACGCTTAGCACAGTGGTAACGATGAGACAGCAGGTGGTGTGCCTACTATAAAAATATCTACATGTTGTATACACGGCTTTTTCTCTAGCTATCCTGTGCTTCCATTCCACAGCTGCCTACATAGCTGCCATGACGTAGTACTGCGGCGGAGCAATTTAGGGAGCTGGGGTTTCAGCATCGTCGGTGGCTACGAGGAGAACCACACGAACCAGCCTTTCTTCATTAAAACGATTGTTCTCGGAACTCCCGCGTACTTTGATGGAAGATTAAAGTAAGTTAAAATAGTAGTAGTAATAATAATTAATAATTATAATCAACACTTTTAAATAGTTACGTGCTGGTGCAACTAATTGCTTAAGGAAATACACTGTAGCGTCTTGTGCTGGGGGGGGATCATGCAGCTGGTAGGGTTTTGCCTCCCTGATGGGTGTGATGCAGGGAAGTACGAGGTGTTTCTGCTGGGGAAAGGGTGTCTGTCAGAGGTGGTGCTTGTGCTGGCACCTCTGCCAACTCCTGTCCTCCTCCCCAGCTGCAGTGCCGATGTCACCTGCTGTCTCCCATCTCCCCGTTGAATGCTCCTTTAGGCCAAGAGACGTTGCAAAATGTCTATGTGCAGAACCGTCTAGTTCGTAACATTTTTGTCTTCCTAGAGAAGGGCTAGAAAATTAGAACTTACTTCTGTAAAGTAGGGAAAACCGCTTCATCCTTTTGTATGGCCTTCATATAGCCTTCCAGCCACTGCTGGAAACTCTGGTACTGAAGATGGTTGCTGCTGCTTTAATGGAAAGGCAAGAAAGTAGTTGAAAAAGTCACTATCTCTGAAAAGATAGTTAAGGAACCAAATGCCCATGTCAGTGCCCTAAGAGTCATTAGTTGGCATGAAAAAGACTGAAAAACGAGGCAAGTTCAGTGGAGTCCCCTGAGATGGGGGGAGCTTGAGCACTTGCGCTAGGAGGAGAGCCTGGGGGAGCTGGGCTTGCTCAGCCTGGAGCAGAGATGACTTTGGGGACAGCCCTTTCCAGCACCTACAAAGGGATTATTGAGAAGATGGAGCCCAGGCTCTTCACAGTGGTGCAGGCCGAGAGGAAGAGAGACTGTGGGCACAAGTTAAACAAAAGAGGTTGAGACTGGTTATAAGGAGAAACCGATTCCCCATGAGGATGGTCAGGGTGGTGGCACAGGTTGCCAAGTCTGTCCTTGGAGGTTTCTGAGACCCAACTGGATAAAGCCCTGAGCAAGCTGGTCAGATCTCACAGCTGACCTTGCTTTGAGCAGGAGGTGGGGCTAGAGACCTCCTGAGGACCCCTCTGATCTTAAGGATTATATGATTCTACTTAGATGTTATGTTTGGATGCAACCCTGAGGTCTAATATGCGTATATGCATCTTAGCCTTGTGTAGAATTAGTTCAGAACTAGGACGTACAGTTCCTATGAAAGGTTCTCTTGTTCATAAACTGATCTTTTGTGAAGGTGGCGGTAAAGAATATGCAACTTGAAGTTTTATGGCATGATTTTTACATGTAGGTTTACTTAAAAAGTAACTTAAGAAAAAATATACTTATGCCTAGAGCCTTGCCAGTAACTGATTTTTCAGTTCAATGACTAAATAAATAGATGAAAAAATAGCTTGGCTGAACACAAAGCTACATTTTTTTTGGACAACTATAAAACAGTTTGGATTAAATGAAAGATCTCAGTTCAACCCAAAGTAAATAATTTCAGATTGCGAAATTAATAACTAGAAGTGTTCATGCAAATGGAAATTCAAGCATCATTCCTAAGAAGAGGGGAAGAGTGGTTGTGCTCACACTTACCCTCTTGTAAGGAATGGAAAAGATGCTCTTGTGTGATATTGTGATATAGGTACCCTCTGTTTAAATGTACTGTCTTACTGAGAATATGGACTTAAAAATGGGCTATCAACAAGAGAGAGCTCCTTAGAACCTGCACTGTGAGTTATCCTGGGCCTGGGCTTTTTGAAGCTCTTCTGTTTTGTTTAAATTATCTAAATGTTTTGTTTGGCCAGAGACAAAGGAAGAAAATAACTTCACAGTTCAATAGTTAAGAGAGTTTTTTTGCCTATATTATCTGTCTGGTGTGATCTTATAGAAGGTGAAATGACTTTAGCAGAAAGGGCGAGTGAGTGAAGCCCCACTCAGTAAGCTGTAGCATTGTGGTTTGGGTGATGGGGTACCTTGGTTTAGGCAGAAAAGTGCTTTTGAGTGCACATTTGACTGGTGTTGGTCACACCGCCTCTTCTTCCTCTGCTCTGCCCTAGTGGAGGGCACTGGGACAGCTCAGGAGAGCATCTTTTTGCCATCCATTTTGGAGCCTCCAATAGTTGGCAGGATCAGTTTCAGGAAAAGTCCTGTTTGATCTCCAGATTCATGTTCGACTGGCTCTGGAGCATGCCAATCACACACACAAGTTGCAGAGAAGAGATACCTGGAGATGGAGCATGCACAATGTAGGAAGAACTTAGGCGCTTTTTTGAAGTTTCTCTTGAGCTTATAAAAACTGAAGCTTAGCCTTTCAAGGTCAATTTTCTCAAGGCCAGCAAACAGCACCCTCCCCAATTTCTGTTCCCTGCTTCAAAACACAGAGATGCTACAGCTTCAGTTGAACCGTCTGCTGAGGGAGATTTCTACACAAATGGTTACATTTGACAAAAACAAGGTTTTCGGTTGGAATGTGGTCAGTAACCATAAGCGTCTTTACTTACACCTCCTATGGTAAAGCCATGTTTGGTGTAAATGTGTTATTATCCACAAAAGCAAACAGAAATGCTGCTGTCATGCATATGCTATCTCATTATGTTCTCTTGACTCCGTTAGATCTTTCCAACTCTCTCTTTTCACGTTTCCCTAC